TCTTGTTTTCGAGCAATTGTGCACGGTTGCAGCCAATTTACCTGCAACGAGTGAAGTGCCAAAAATCAAAATTGTTACCTTCAAGTCTGTAGTTGTTTGATTTAGAATAATATATTGAATCCCGTAGGGAAAACTAAATATTTCGCATGAATTGGAGAAGGGTAATATATAAAGGCAGAGGAAGATATTTAACACGAGTAAACAAATTTTGTAATGACCTGCCGAATTGACGTGTTCACGCTCAGTTCGGATAATGTCTGGACACCCGGCAACCTTTCATCTAATTGAAAGCATTGAAAAGTAGTTCGATACGTTTTCACGAAGGCTCAAAGTGGCATTGAAAAGCAACATTATTGCGTGTCTTTAATCAGCCATATCTCAAGCATAAACAAATGCAGCGATATACTGTAGAAATTGTACCCCACAATGTGCTAAAGAAGACGATATCAACAAATCAACAAATCAACAAATTAACGCTTCAAATGAATGTTTAGTCTGCGGCTCTGTATTCCTTCTCTCGTTTGTTTTCCTTAATGTTGATCATTAAATTTTACGGCCATTATAATTTGGCGCGTGCGCAGATATTAGCGGCCTAAAATTGATTTAGAAAATAATTTTATTTGCCCATTATTCCAATTTAATGTGGTTATTTTTATATACAGCAAAGATTACGAAGAAAGAAACAAAAATTCCGACATCTCAATCAACAAGTACGTTTTGTATGCAATTTACAAGAAAAAAATGGAAAATGCTAAAATACATTACAGTTTTAAACAATGATTTTAGTTGTATGCTTCGCTATAGTTCATAGAATCATCTTTTATATAGCAAAACAAATGACAAAAGAAACAGAAATTTCGACGACTCAAGCGACCAGTAAGTTTTGCCTGCATTTTACCCAAAAAGTCAAAAATGATAAAATAGATTACAAGTTTTAAACAATGGATATAGTTGCATGCTTCACTAGTTCAATAATATAATTATCTTTATATAGCAAAATATATGGCAAAAGAAACAGAAATTCTGACGACTCCAGCGGCGAGTAAGTTTTGTATGCAACTTACCAAAATATATTTATATTCATAAGAATTTGTTAAAGCGTGAATTTACTTGATACAGCAAAACCTCCTCCATGTTTGAATGCTAACTGGTGGGAAAGTTTTAACCAGAAAGGTTGGTCGAAATGTGGCGAGAGCAATCGTTTTATCACAGGACTTTATCGAAGCTGGCGAAAATTCTAATGTAATCTATTCGCGCGTGTTTCCATCGACTCAAAGGCTGTTTCCACTTACGCGTTTTTCACACGCACGTACACGCACGTAAAAGTCTATATCCTTGTACATGTTACCTTTGGAAAAACTAATTGAATAAATCCAAGGAACTTACTTTTCTGCATATTTTAGTATGCATTAGTTGACCTAGATGTTAAATAATAAACATTTAAAAGCATTTAAAATTTTTAGTTGTCCCGCCTTTATACCAGTTCAAAGCTATTATTATTGTTATTATTATTGCTATGAAACAATCGTATCGGTGCAAATGTTAATCTTATATCATCAACTGTCTTCATAGTTAAACCTTTGATATGCCTCGTTGCAAACTGGACGGATAGTTTCAGCAGAAAGGGTTGGTCCAATTGTGACGAAAACAATCTCTTCATCACAGCACTTTATCGAGTCACCAAATCCGCCGCTTACGCAGGCATCGGTAAACTTCAACAGGCAAATTGCTGCCCCAGCTCAACGGAAGCGTTCCGCGGTGAGACTGCCGTCTGTCAAACAGCTGACTGGAGAACTACAATGGGCACGTAAGTACTTGAATATGCCCAGCCATATTTTCGCGGATCGCAAGTGTATGAAGCCGGGAAAAAAATTTTCGCTCGATTTTCTTTTCAATAATGAGAATTCGAACGTAGCGGATTCCCTTCACCGGTCACAGACTTTGTTACGGTCGGCATGTTCATACAATCCAATTTTGTTGGATTCAATTCACTTGTGACGTATATGAAATATATATATGTTATTTACCAGATTGGAGGTCCGTACAAAGAAATATTTCCAAAGGCCTCAAAAACAGCCCAAAGCCGAGGTACGTTTTTGAGACCAAGGGAAATATTTCCCTATACGGACCGACTAAACTGGTAAATAATCGATTTATTTTTTCCTTGTGGTCCGAATTCATATTTTAGCGTTGGCTCTGTGCTTAATCTCGCGCGGTCCGTACGGCCTCATATGGACCGCTCGCGTAGCCAATCAGATTGCAGGAAACGCAAAAATATGAATTCGGACCGCAACAAAAAAAATAAAGTCGCTGATTGATAAAGCAGTACTGCGTTGGCTTCAATGCATTTGGTGCTCATATACATCACAAGACAACAAACTATAAAACATCTATTAGAAGTGATTCAGAATTGGATCCAACAAAATTGGATCGTGTGAAAAGACCTTTAGGCTTTACTACGGTTAAACACCGCCTGGGGACTGTATGAAAGCCGGATCACGCTATCCACCGGATAGCGATTCTTTAGCGGTTCTAAAAATGCTCGAAAAGCGATAAAATTTCATCTTGGGAACCAACAACTATTAAAGAGGGTCCTTGATTTAGGAATAGTAAGATTTAATCATGCAGTTACAGCAAACAATGGGCGATTTTAAAGCCTGTTCATATAAGACGGGTCAGCTCGGTTAAGTCGGGCTGGCTCGCTTTTGCTGCCCCCCTTGAGTCCGTTAAAGGCGGAATTTCGCTTCGTTAAGGCGGGATCTCGCAAAAGCCGGGTTGACCCGGTTCCATATGAATGCAATTTTACAAATATAGTAAAATAATATTTGAAGCGAGATCTTGGCAATGCCGAGCGTCCATCTCATATGAACTGGCCCTTAGACACCAGGAGGGGCCGGTTGTATTAAGCCCGTTTAGCTTAAACGGTGGCTAAGTTCAAAATAGAAAGCAAGTCTATCGTTTTATTCAACAAGCAAACTAAATGTTTTCAACCTTAATGCAAAGATATTGTTTACAACTACATATCAGTTTAGTGCATAATATTCAAGTTAACTCATTCAAGACAGATGTAAGAGTGTTATTTAATTTTGACTTATCCACCGTTTAAGCTAAACGGGCTTGATACAACCGGCCCCAGTTAACATTCGTGAACATTCGAGAGTGCTCGCAGGTGGCTTAACGGGAGAAAAAAATGTACTGAAGAGTATTTCAGAGTAGTGTGGTCACGGCGTCACGCATATGCTGATTAGTGATCTTTTTCTATTTTCATTTATGTAGGAGTTACCAATGGAGTGTGTGCCCAAACGGCTTCTTTTTAAACGGGTTATATCGCGACAGTGGCACTAAATTAAATAGCATCCACCACGGCAATTGCTGCAAACCAAGTAATCATCCTGGTAAGTATGGATCGTGCTATGATGAAGATGTTGGAAAATCGTTTGAACAAGAAGGATGGACAAACTGTTCTCAGCCTGGGCATTATATCACTGGACTCTATCGCGGAAGTACCGCGTTTATAAACAATATCGACATATTCCGATGCTGTCAAATGGCTGAATAGGCAAAGTCCTGTACTACAAGTCAGCATTTCAATCACATATTTTTAAAATTCGTAGTTTCACTTTTGAATTTTACCTTGATATAACTTCTGAATTATAAAAACTATCAAAGAATTTAGCTATTCCAGTGATTGGTTGTAGAAACAGATCCTCGAAAGAAGTATAAAGTTATAGCCTTACAGGTATTAATACAAATTTCGCTCGATTTTTTATCACTCGTGAACCCTCTGATATTTATCTTCATCAAGAGCGGCATGGTAAAAATAATATTGATATTAATAGTTGAATCATTTAAGAAGAAACTCCCAATAATAAATTATACTCCAAGGTGAGCGACGGAGTTTAAAAATGGCTTCAGTTTTGCTTTGTTTTTTGTTATCATTTTTCGTCGCAAAAGTGTTTTGGCGCGAAATATACTTATATAAACAATCGGCTAATTTGGTAGCCAGAGGTTGTCCGGATATGAATTATTAAGATGCTTAAGGAAAAGAGAACTAAACAAATTAAACTACAACAATGTCTCATTCGTAGTTTTTTGTTAATAATTGATAGCGATAAATAAATTGCATTGCAAATGGCATTAAAACGCACGCAAAGCTTCCTATAAAATGCCCTGTGTTAGCGTTGACACGTTGGTCCAAACTAGCAAAAATTCTGGCACTAGTGAAGGCTCATATTGTCAGTGGCTGCTTTGAAACTGCATGGATGTGAGTTTCTGTTGGACACCAGCCCCCCCCCCAAAGTAACACCGCGTAACCTATTACTATGCTGGGATCCTCACATTTGACTGCAATTGTCAAACATGATTTTAAAAAATAAAAGATATTTCACAAACATGTTCTATAAAACGCTCACGCCAACCCATACAAGCGTTTTAGGCAACGTGTATACAGGTGTTGTTTTTGAGCGTTTTGAAGAACATTTCCCGGGGCCTGGATCAAGCCTGTTTAGCTTAAACGGTAGTTAAGTTCAAAATAGAAAGCAAGCCTATCGTTTTATTCAACAAGCGAACTAAATTTTTTAATCTTAATTCAAAGATACTGTTTACAACTACATATTCAGTTCATAATATTCAAGCTGACTCATTCAAGAGAGATGTAAGAGTGTTATTTAATTTTGACTTATCCACCGTTTCAGCTAAACGGGGCTTGATACCACCGGTCCCGCTCTTTTATTACTTTGATCTCTTATTTTACCTCTCTAAGGAAAACATTTTCAATATAACAAGACGCCCGGTGTAGATGTTAACTCGGGCTATATGTACACGGGATACTGGGCAATGGAAAAAATGTTTTCATTGTTTACTGCACTGAAACTGAGCAATATTGATACACTGTAAATGAGCGACCGCGACACAAATAATAATAATAATAAACGCAAAACCTACATTCGGCTACCACAGGTGGCCCAAGTAATGAATAACACTACCATAATTGGTCCTACCTTCCACTCGGAGACGACCTCACTCCAGTGTGTCAAAGATGATAAAACATCCAGGAACCTATCCCACAATTCAACACTGACAGTGACAGTCAAGTTTGCGCGTATCCATGTAACAAACAACGTCTGAAATACGACGATAAGAAACGACAAATTACAAAATGAAAACAAAGATTTCTGGACAGTAAATGCAAGTATAAAACTATACTCATTGAGAATCACCGTCATCAAAACACTTCAAATTCTATTAATTTTTAACTTGTTATCCGTTCAAAATACCTGGAAAAGGATTGGGGCCAAACGGCCGGCAAAGGTGGACGACTTCGGCTCGACGATTTTATCCTCGAGAACATGTTTTGCAACAGTAAGCAACACCACAAGTAGCTGTTCCCTGATGGTGGAAGAATTGCAAGCATATTGTCTGTTATTATCGGTTTAGTTTTAAAGAAATGAAGAGCAAATGAGTAGTAAGAACACACGGGAAGACACGTCTACAATATTCTTCAAAATTTAGTAAAATATCCAAGCAAAAGTAGTATTTTCTACAACAGAAGAGAAGACAAGATCTAATATACTCAAAGACTGGCTAAAATGAGGCAAGCCAACGATGAATGTTGATCAACAATATCTCTTACCATGTTTTCGCCACCATGGACGTTTCCAAAACAATGTTTCGATACATGAGAATAACTCTTTCACAGAAATAAACCTAAATATATGATGCGACAGTCAGTACTTTTAACCCTTGTATTAAAGCAGCCTTTGTTGACGATTTTTGGTTGTCCCAAACCGTCAAAATTACTCTTAGTACTCACTGCTTAATATATATACATGTATTAATAGTAACTAATTAATATATGATATTAATTAGTAACTCTCTCGGGGATAGTTGGTCATTTGAATACTTGGGTTTACCTCCGACTATTGTTGGCAAATATGCTAACTACAGTGTGACTTCTTTTCCTCAGTGATGTAATTTCTTAATTAAGAGTACTTCTTCTTCTACCCTCACTTAGCACTCATTGTTTTCATCATAACCGGCCTGACTCGCTCCGTTTTAACGCCGTTTACTAGTTAATTGTATAATTTGTATTACCTTAGGTTTTATCGAGGTTGTTGTGTTAGGAATCAGGAAAATAGACGCCGAGTGATATATTAACAGACGAACATTTCCTTGCATTCCAGCTCTAACATCGTCGGTGTCGCTCGAAATCATTTCCAAATCTGGTTCAAGCATGAATTTTGGCCTGTTTTCGTTCTGAAAATAGACGCTATATTTCAAAAATATACTTTACTATAAAGCAAGCCAGCCAAAGCATAGGCGGCCCAGAACTGTTCTCACTGACCTCGCGCTACGCTCATGTTGTCTGAACAGTCTTATATTATGACAAGGTTGGCAACTCTCACGCCAAATAAGCTAAAACGCACGACGGTTGACCCAAACACCTTCACAAAACCGCAAATATTTCGTAAAAATATGGCGAATAAGAAAAAAAAAGTACAACTCATTAAACTTGAATAATTTTACTACATTTATACTATGTTTTTAGCATTCAAATGTATTCCTATGCATGAATAAAACGTGAATGTTTTTATGGTTTCTGGCAAATATATTTCAAAACCTATGCTGGGGACACCTTGCCTATACCTTCGTCATATTTTTAAAATTGAAAATAGAAAGCTGATTGGCTGTCGTTTAAAAAGAGCCAATCAGCTTTCTATTTTCAATTTTAAAAATATGACGAAGGTATAGGCAAGGTGTCCCCAGCATAGGTTTTGAAATATATTTGCCAGAAACCATAAAAACATTCACGTTTTATACATACATAGGAATACATTTGAATGCTAAAAACATAGTATAAATGTAGTAAAATTATTCAAGTTTAATGAGTTGTACTTTTTTTTTCTTATTCGCCATATTTTTACGAAATATTTGCGGTTTTGTGAAGGTGTTTGGGTCAACCGTCGTGCGTTTTTAGCTTATTTGGCGTGAGAGTTGCCAACCTTATCATAATATAAGACTGTTCAGACAACATGAGCGTAGCGCGAGGTCAGTGAGATCAGTTCTGGGCCGCCTATGGCCAAAGTTCAAAATCACACAAAACGGCGCGTTTCAATTGGTTCCTGAATCCTGAGCGGTCGGTAGAGCGTATAAAGAGATAAAGGACAGCTCAGTTTTGGCGGGAAAAAAAGTGAACTTTGAATCTTTACAGATTTTTATATATTTTGTTTAAGATTTTTGGTTTACAACAATGATTTAGAAAGATTGAAACACCTGAAAGTAAAGAAGAGCGTAATGCTTTTTATTATTCGGGGAGAAATTATATTTTAGGACAATATCACTTAAATTTTAAACAAAAACGCTGAATGTACGAAGTTGGGAAGGAAAGTTGCACGAAATTTGATATGCAAGCTACTAATGTCAACGTTTAAATTCAAAATCCTTACCTTCAACCAGTTATAATAAACCACTAGAACCTCCTTAATTACAGTACTCTTGTCCATCGTAAGAATAAACGCCTACATAAAAGCAATCAATTCAATTATTCAAACTTCAGCCATTTCACTCTGAACGCTGTAACTGACCACGTTTAACTTCTCATCATGACAAACAGTATATCGCACCAATCACACCAAAGTTATGATACTATGTAATCGGAAAAATGCATACACTTTAATGGCAATTTCTATTGATTTTCAAATTTTTTATACCGTCACGAATACGATTATATAAACAGAATTATATAATACCCCATTAAATTTAGAGCGTGTAATTGATTGATGACGATCACGTGATATTGAATAGAAAGTCCCATTTCCCAAGAGTGCAATGGAAAGCGTTCCATTGCACTCTCCAGAGTGCAATTGTACTATACATTTTGTTCCATTGCACTCTTAATGCTTGGTTGTTGATCCATACAGTATGTTTTTTAATAAATTATATTTTTGAAACGAGACAGTCTATTTTGGTATTATATAAAACAAATAATGAATGTTTTCATTCGTGCAATGGTAAAAATATTTTCACTTGGTGAAAGATGGAATGTTCCATTCAACTCGGCTATCGCCTCGTTGAATGGAACATTCCATCTTTCACCTCGTGAAAATATTTTTACCATTGCACGAATGAAAACATTCATTATTTGTATACTAACAGACAAAGAATTCAAGAACTTTTCACAAGTGGCTAAGGCAGTCAAAATTGTCTGTTTTTGTGACATATAACTATGTGAGGTGAAAGTTCAAGAATAATGGCTTCATTTTAATAGCAATTTTAAAACAAAAATTTCATCAAACGAAATAGTAAAACAAAATCAAGAGGCATTTTTTACAACTGATCGCAAAAACCCAAACGCAACTTCGCTGCGAGCCCTTGCATCTAATGAAAATCAACACAAGCATTTTGATTGGACGAGAACACTCGTAGCATGCAATAGAGCCACCTTAATTCGATATATCCTACGAGCAATTACCTGTCTAAAGACCTCGTGGACAATGTGAACATTCTCGCGTGTCGAGTAAATGACGTCGAGTATTATATCACCGCCGAGCAAGAGGTCTTCGTAGATCGCCGCCGCACGACTATTTTCCGATGCGGTCGAGACCTGAGATTCGCTGCCCGCTACTCCTAGGGTGTCCATTGATTGGGAGGTATCCCTCGGCGACGACAGGTCGCCAGCCTGCATCTTAACGACACGCTTTATCTTGGATAAAAACGCCACGAACCACTTTACAACCGAATCGGCATATTTTGTTAAATTACCAGAAGGTTGGGTATTCTTTAAGACAGCAACGTTCAGTTCTCGCACCTGGTCGTCTGTTTTGAAAAGAAAGATGAACAATTGCGCAGATTAGAACCCAGACTCCAAGCTGTGTGAATAATGAATAACAATAGACCTTATGCATAATGACGTAACAAGCCGTGACACCTGCAGGGAATTCTGGTCTTAGTAGTCAAGGCGGGAAATTTTGAAGTTTGAATTTTTCGCCTTGACTACCAAAACCAGAATTCCCTGCAGGCGTCACGGCTTGATACGTCATAATAATGCATAAACTAGGTTTATTAGGGCCAGATTAAAAAAAAAAGTATTTTAAGCGAATCTGGAGAGCGATAGGTGTCAGGTCGTTTCGTACTCTTGTCATTTCGTACCCATATCCCTGGTCGTTTCGTACTCTAATTGATGGTCGTTTCGTACCCCGATTTTAGTCGTTTCGTACTCAAACGCTAGATATATGACTGCTTTTATTGCAATCAGTTCAGTTTTTATTAAAAGCGTTGATAATAACTACTTTCTTTGTTGACTTGAAACTCTGTATTGCAACATTTAAGTTCTTCGTTCGGCAGTTCAAATTTATCGTTTTGAAAATGGTCAGAAAGTCTACACGCACACTTAAGCGCAAATGGCCATGTAGTACTTGCAGTCTGCAATGCAATGAGCATTACCTGGGTTAGTGGCGTACAAATTAGTCTGTGGTGTCCACATGGGAAACACGTGATGTAAATAGTACTTCTTAAACAGGTTAAAAAGACATTCGAAACCTCTTTTTCGCATACTCTTGTCCAGCCACTCAATCTTACAAATCTTCAAGAAAAGATAGCAAAACAACGTTGTACTGTGTATTTCTCAATCTATTCTCCTAATTTCTATCGTCCCGAAAAATCAAGACAACTCTCTGCGCTAGGAAACATTCCCCTATGTAGCACATTTAGCACAGAAAAGTGCATATTTTTACGCAAAGAAAAAATGTTTAGTTAACGCAAACCTGTGTAATCATGTAGTCCAAAACTCGGTCAAGGTAAACCTTGGTTAAATCTTCAAGACCTGGGATTTTTTCGGCCTGGCTTTGGTTGATCAAAGGGACAAGAATTTGAAGTTCATCAGGCGAACACCAACTGCTTGTTCCTAGACAGAGTTCATCATCAAATTTTTTTTGATGATTTATACTATCAAGGACTAGGTGGTTTTTAAAAAGTGTTTTTTTCTTGTTTTATGCAAAATTTCACCTCACCTCCATCTTTAGTTTCCAGGGGTAGCAAGGTCATGCTTCCAGAGGAATTCGCACCATCACTTCCTCGGACAAAATTACAAATGTCTTCCAAAACATGTATGGGCACGCTAGTGGTAGTCGTATCTAAGCTATCAAGAGGATTTGGGAAGCCAGGGACGACGCAAGCAAAGATGACCTCACATGATAGATCCATATTCTCCTGCAGAGCTTGAAGCCAAATGATCAACAGCCTTATACCTTCGCTGCGGAGCTACAAGGAAAATCATGAGAAGATTCAATGTACGAAGTTGAGCCATTACCATTTTAGGTATTGTTTCAATACTAAACCTTGAAAGCATTTCCATGATGAAGAAATTTCAACATAGTTCTTCCTGTAAAGAAAGGCAATAAGATCTTGTAGCATGACTATATACAGTTTTACCAAATTGTATAAAAGCCATGGTACCATACCTATGCTGGCAAACTGCCATCTTTCGTGGACCAGTTCCGGAAGCAAAAGTAGTATTTTCTACAGCACAAGAGAAGACAAGATCTAAGATATTCAAAGACTGGCTACCATGAGGAAACTTGTTCAATTGAAACATGAATATGCGTTATATGGATCCGAATGAAAATTACCTCAAATATGTAAAGAACACAGTCAAGATCTTCCCTCACGGCCTTGCTTGCTGCAGAAAATGTAATCTAATTTACTTTGGGTCAGTCAACATTCAGCCGACTAAAATGCTGAATATTTTAATTGTTAGTTTAATTCTATATATAGCATCAGTTTCCTGTACATCTTATGTCATCAATTTAACAGAGGTCTATTGAGCCATCAGACCACTAGGGAGATATTCATTAAACTGATATAAAATACACTGATAAGTTACAATATGAATGTAAATTTGCCTGATATTTTGTATGGACGAATAAGATGTAATTAAGTTACCTTTCTGCCTGAGATTTACTTCGACAATGGAAAAGTAATCATGGCATATGTAATATATTTCTGAATAATGTCTTTGGAAGAACACCTTAGCTTCATGAGTTTCATAGTTATCTAAGAATAATTAATATCGTTTTCGTCATTACAAATCCTACATTATGGACCCATCACTATCAACTGGGAAATTATGGATTCACATGTTTTGTAATCTAATTCAATATATGTAAACTTCAAAAGATGCTTAATTGTGTATAAATGCTCGATAGCCGAGATCGGAATCCCACTCGGCTGGAATAAGCACACAAACTGTTATCCACAGATCCTGCATTTTATCGGGTATATTTGTAAATGCAAATATGTAATTATTGTAATATTTAGTACTTTCCACTTCCTACCTAAAAGAATTCGCAGTGCATGAGCTCTTTGGCGTGACTCTCTCTTTACATCCAGAAACTTTGTCGTGACTCTTTTGAAGTCTACCTGCCCCTTCCTACTGTGAAACATCTTTATTTTGCCATTTCCTATCACCGATCTTGCGCGATCTCTATTTCTAAGCGTTTCAAGTGTATGTACAAATGTCAGCCATATTGTTTGTTTTCATGATGACCGTGCCAGAAACGATCCCTCAAAGACTGGGTTGGAAATTGACCTTTTCGACATTTTTTACAAACTCGCAGTGTACTATGGTCTGCAACTAAGTTACCCTGCAAAGGAAGAAATGCTGCAAACACCGCAGAAATTGGTGTCTATGAAATTTCAACCCGAAAATCTAATCACTGGTTCACAATTGTGCATTTCTGTATCGCTATCAAAGAGAAAACTATTCAAAAAGACTTCCTTGTTGTATACCGTGAAAATGAGTTGAATGGAAACTACCCTCCTCTCCCCCCTCTCAATATTGATCACACAATTATGTGATAAAAATGTTACAGCGGTTGAATTACGTGCTTGCAGAAAAATATGTTTATTTTCATGTCTGGATTCTTATAGCATAAATTATCATAAGTTATTTTTAATAACGTTTATAGAATTTATTTCAACCTCGTTCCCAGGGCATTTCCCGCCCTCCCCAATTTAACTATTCTTTAGAAGTTTAAATCTATGGCCAGCTTAATATTTCACGATAAATTGTCATAATTAAAAATGGAATTACACCAAGTCGTGTCCTTATGTTCTTTTCAAAGAATACCGCTAAATAAAATGCTGTAAACATTGAATATTATGAAAATCATGATTCAAAATCTCCTGTAAACGTATGGTGTATCCACACACTTTCCAAATGCTTCCTATTTCTTTGTTGTTTGTTTCTTCAGCGGCCTAAACGCGCGCCAAGTGTCTTGAATAATCTGATTGTCCAGGTTGGCAATATCGGCCAGTTGGAGAAAGGTCTCTCCGACAAGTCTATTTCCGGTTGCAATAACACCGTACAGTCTAAAGCGAACCGCCATTGTGAATAGCTCCTTTTGATGTACATCTTTAAACTCGAAAGTCTCGTCAAATTTTGGGGAATATCTGCTTTTTGTTTTGCTTTTAAATCGCTGTTCTCTTTTCGGAAGCAGGGTGAGGTGTACTTTAAAGTTCGCAGCACCCCCCTGTTCCTTTGACGGTAGTCCGTCACCTTCGATAACATGAACTTTGAGCCGAGATTCACCGCTGTAATACACAACTTCCAAGCGAAGCCTGCCCAGTCCTCGCTCGGTTACATAGGTCTGATCCAGCGACACTGTATCACCGTATGCAGAAAAGGCCGAGTAGGGAGAATGGGTATCAGCCTGCACGACCTGATCGAATTCCGGGTTGATTTCGCTTTCAACTATCAGGGTGGGTGGAATGAAAATGTCCTCGTCAGCAGAATCCTCTGATGTCAACACTTTGTCATATCCCTTTTCTTTTTTTCGCTTTTGACGTTCTTTCTCCCTTCCCCCCGGGTCGCTGAGGCAGGAGCACGTCTGCTTCACAACTGCTCTGTAGATAACGGCCAAAGCAATGACGACACAGAATACCACAGCCAAAAACACTACCGGTGCGACAACTAGAGCAAATGAAATTTACAAGTAGAGTTAGAATTTTACTCCAGCTGCTTTAGATTTCGAGACTGCAACTAGCTTTGGCCTGGCATTGAAATTGGTTTTCGTTTTGTAAGCGGTTTCAAGCTGGCAAATTTTGTTTTTCGAACAATCTGCGTCACCTGTTCTGATAGGCCTAAAGTTCCTTCAAGTCAAGGCTTTGCTGGCACCATTTACATTACGAAAATCAAGCTCAACCTAGGCTCGCGTATTTTTGTAGCTTAAGAGACTCTTTAAACGGATGAAACCAGTCACCACTGTACCATGCACCGCCATGACCCTTTGTTGGACAAAAAACAGGAGACCAAATTCCCTCGTTTTGACAGAATGACAACGGTCTCGAGAAAATCTGTCTGAGCATGTATAATTCTAATTTATACTGTGCAAAAAGTCTTTTATTCAAGGCCTATCGGTTAAGGTTGAAATTTCGTGTAAAATCACTTTGTCGAATGCCTTAAAAAGGTTGAGAATTTCTACTTTTTATCCGCAAGTTCACGATCAACATGAGCATGTGAACTAGGCAAGGGAAATTGTCAGTGCGGTGAATAGCTTCTCTGTGAGTGCAAGAATTTATGATTGCGCAGTTTCTCGACATGTTAATCAATTTCGTTGCAAGGCGTGATAAAGAAACCTTTCTGGATCAACCATGAGCCCATTATCACTGATGAATGTTTACGTCACCAAACCTTAATAATTCCATGCTTTTATATCTTTACGGTTCAGTCTGTTCGGGCGGATTAAATGGGGGGTTAAGGAGGCTATGGCATGTTGCATGGCTATCTAGATCCGAATATTCGCTGTAGAAAGCGTTAAGCCTACTTAGCCTAGCTACGCTGCCCAAATATTCGCTGATGGCACAGTATGAAGACTTGATTGAAGTTCCATTTTTCAATACTTGATGCTTATTTAGCCGTGGCAAAACAGTCATGGTAAAAGAACCGTCAAAGAAAGTCGTTGGAAAGCATGTGATTGCTGGATATCTAATGCTTATTGAACTGATTTGGTAGCCTAACTAAGATCTCAGAAACTTCACATAACTGACCTAAGGGCAAGCTTTTTAATGGTTGTATTAGTCACCAACACAAATGCATGTTAGTTCATATCATACTGCCAACTCACGTCTGGGTCTCCTAAGTCTATTATACACCGTGCTATTTATAAAGCTATAGCAGAGAAATTAGTTAATTCGTCTCACTGACACGAAATAACCAAAATGCCAAAACAAGAATACCTTGGGTATTTTTTATCGAATATACCTATCGAATATATCATCTCTTGCTAGTAGCTACACTATTTCCTACGATACTCGCCTCAATATCCGAGCACTTTCCGCATGAGAAGCTATACGCTTATAGCAAAACATGATCAACCCACGTTAAATAAACTTGTTGATCCTGGGAAATTTCTCACCAAATTAAACGATATGAGAAAGTCGTAAACCAAATTTCTACTATATACAAACTTCAATAACATATCAACTTACTATCGTATTTCATGGCCAAAAGGAATGTCTACTTAGACGCCCTTTCGTTTATGCGGTTCGTCTTGAATTCAACTCAATGGTTACGAGACCTCAAAGGAATGTCGGTATGCGAGCGTTTGGCGACATTATACCAGAGCAATCCTTTATATTTCCCCGAAAAAATCGACTCCAAAAGCAACTCAAAGCATACAAAACTCCGTTTTCTTTAGCATCAGTTCATTGTGAAATAAAGCAGAAAGAAGTTGTGACAATTTCTGAAGAGGTTACATTGCCTAAACAATATCAGTTTGACTTCGCAATGCATGAGAGGTTAAACGACCGTCTTAAACAATGTAAACATAAAAAATACAAAGTCATTAGAATTTTAAATAGACTAGTTTTAATACACTTCATACAATTATAGCATATATTTTAGACTCGACTGATTTTCAGTTGTTGTGTAACAGGCTCATGTTTCAATTTCATTCCAATTTTTTTCCCTTCATTAGAAATGTGATATTAAAGTGATGACTTTGGGAAATAGACTTACCAAATGGGAAATTTTATGCTAAGCGACTTGGGTATTTCTGATGTCCATGACTATGGTAATAATGGTAGTTTAGTAATGATAAGACTCAGTACATGGTTGCCGACGATTCCGAAATTTTCTGGGCCGTGTGCAACTCCAAAAACTTGACTTGTATGTAGATTTATATTAATGCTACATTTCTAAACCTGCATGGATACGGCATATAAAAATGTAGTCGAAGTCTATTAACTAAATATCTAGTAAAGCAATTAGTTTTCCACTTTCGATTCTCTCTCTCTTATACTTTCCTATAAATAACTAATGTCGTCACACCGATATGATCGACTAAAAGTCGCCATCATTTCTTGTGGTTGCTCGACCACATGTAGAAAGCTTTTATCTCTCACGTCTCACAAGCTTTCTATTTGCTTGATGGAAGAGGCAATTGAGATGCGTAATAATGCCTTCCGTAAAAAAATTCCCACAAATAAAACTCTCAGCTGATTCTAAATATTTGAATTCTGACCTCAAAACTAGCTGTTTTCGTTCAAAAGGATGCGTGGTCTCGTTCCTTCTAGAACAGATCGTCGAAACGTGTTGGTATGTGCAATTCAACCTTAAAATTACCGAATTACAATTTACAACTCGGCTAACTTACGACGAAATACGACGAATGGCGACACCGGCATTTGGGCGCTCATTCACATCTGTCCAAAGGATATGAGATAGTCACTGTCTGCGATCATTCGACTATGAAATGCTTTGTAATATACAAGAGATCCTGCCATTCGACAGAGTAAAACGCTAAACCATGACCCCATATGTGGTAATAATACAATGCTGTATAAAATATAAATATTCGGTAACATGGATAACACGGAGTCGGAGCTCCGGAGCCGGAGTTTCGGAGCGGGAGTCTCGGAGCCGGAGTCCCGGAGTCAAAATTACGGAGTCTGACGTAATAATATTGGAAAACACGGAGTCAAAAATTATGGCAAACACGTAGTCTGCCAAAAACATAGAAAACACAGAGTATAAATGTTTGGAAAACACGAAGTCAACGTAAATTATACATATATTCATGAATGAAGGATCGCTCATAAGTCTATACTAATTTTTTATACCACAGTAATAGTATACAAGAAAGAATACACAATAACAAAAGATTATAGCTATAATGCCTCTTGCTCAAAGTCATAGAATTATTGTTGTAGCTAACTACATTACGTGTCCTTATATCACGGAAGAAAGAGTAAAAGCGTCTACCGGTTCACATCATTCTGGGAGCGAGCGAGTATGCGAAGTTGAAAAAAACTACAAAGCAAAGCCTTTGAAAGAATAGTTTACAAGTGGTTGATAACAAATATTCGCCTCAAGCTTTTTTAAAATTTGGCTTATTTGTTTATTTTCATTAAACTATACATTCAACTGCAGAGTGATTATTTGAAAATCTTGAGTCAAGAGGAACCGGAGTACCCGTTAAACCTTCTCATGCACAAAAACAAACACACGATTCCCGTATTCCCATTTGTCATTACATTCATATAATATCTTCTTCAGAATTAACTTGGGCTGCATGACAGATTTCGTCCAGGAAGACTAGCATGGCAGCAACAGAGATCGTGAACATAGGAAAATAAGATGCCATATACCAGTACAAATATCATCAGTTTAAATAATCACAATTACCGTACAGTTTTCCTGCGGTCATAGTTGACAAAATAAATAAAGGCAAAATTTGATCTGACAAAACGGACTAAAAATAATATTTATTTGATAAAGTTAAAATGTAATCTCAGTGCATCATGCGCTGATTCTAGAAGGAAGCCCCCTTCACAGTAGGTGCAGGAGGTAAGGTAAGGATTTAACAAGCTCGCATCATTTTGTCGCTAAGGAATCTTCAGCATCACTTTATAGCCAATCGGATTGTCTCTTCGTTCTCATTGATATTCAACGATCTCGTCTTAATCTTGAGAATTAACCAAATGATACGGATGAGGTGGTGATTAAGAGAACATCTTGAAGTCTTGAAGAACGCTTATTCCACGTTTAAAGTCACGTATCTGGCGAATGTGGTCGTTCTTTATAAGCACCAGGATGAGGAAGTATTGCATTTCAATTTGGCTGTATCACGTCTTTCAAATCAGTAAAGTGCTCCATCAACAACTCGTCAAGTGAAATTATAGTCTAAAGACGAAGCTTTGCATGCTTTAATTGAAGAACATGCATGTAAGTTCATTGCGACAAAGAACAGTGTTCCGGGAATTGAACCCAGTAACCGTGTGTACAAGTCAGCTTCCATTAAACCATTATGTTTTCTATTCTGAGGGCGTTTACGTCAGACATTAAAGTCTACTGGGTTGCGAAAATATTCTAAACTTTTTATCGAGTATAACGAGACATACCAATTATGCGGCTATAAATTGTCAACAGAAATGTTTAGCTTTCATGCAATTTTACTCGTGAAAAGTTCAATTTTCGTATGGAAAACCAACCGTAAACACGGTTCCGAACACACGGACACTGTTTTTTTACGAGGAAACCAGAGTGCCTGGAGAAAAACCCTCACCGAAAGCCGGAATTAAACACAAAGTACACAAGTTTGAGATTTTATTAAAACAAAGTCATGTATTACAACAAAGTGTGTGTGTGTGTTAAAGATATTGAAATCAAGAGAGAGGAGACGGACAATTTTGGTCCTATTTTTATTAATACTTCACTAAACATGTATTACAAAGCGTGCGTGTTTTCTTCACATATCAATATACGAAGACACTATTATATTTACAAAGTAGGTGCGTTTAAGATCTTAACATTTAGATTTATAGAACAGTGCAGGTTAAATGTTAATTTGGCATACTTTAGTATAAATTGTTCATGTCTTTTTACAGTGTGCTAGTGTTTGACTAATGTTTCAAGACTGATCAGTAAAACATGCATTAATGTGAGTAAGTAATTTTTCTACGTTATCGTGTATTCTTTTGTTCTATTATAGACTTAACCCACTGACTCTGGTAGAGAGCTGAATAAAGCTTATGAGATCGACGAACTAATATAGTAATAAATAGAAATGCCTGGGTTCAGAGCGCTTAGATTCAAGTTACGTTCATCCAAAAACTAAAATTATTCTGCTGACAAATCATAGGCAGTGTTCCTAATAGTTTCCGGCGTTTTAAGCTGTCGAACTGTGCACACATATTTCAAGGATCGAGTTAACTTGAAGATATTTCATGAGCCCTTATAGAAACAGCATGAAGGCATACACAATTGTCCTTGAAAACTTCATTGCACATTTCAGAGCTGAGGCATATAGCCAGAGCATGCCGCCTTTGTAGAAACAAGGTTTGGAAAAAATACAAGAAATTGACTTTATATTTTTGAGGCTGAGGCATATAGCCAAAGCTGTAAATATTTTTTTTAAAAAATTCAGTCAACAGTTTTTGAACCATGCAAGGGATATTCCCAAAGCAAGCTCTCCTTATAGAAACAGTACCATGAGTACAATTTTTTTTTCAGAGAAACTGGACTAATACTTTCAAAGCCAAGGCATATAGCCAAAGCAAGCTGCTCTTATAGAAACAGCCACAGGAGTACATTTTTTTTCTTTGAAAATCTGGTTTAAAAACTTTTAGAGCTAAGGCATATAGCCAAAGCAAGCTGCTCTTATAGAAACAGCAATGAAAATAACACTGCAACGTTATTAGATATCCCAAGATACCTGCTAACACTTCGAACCACATAGCAAAGTCAAACAGTACAGACAAAAAGTGGCGCCTTACTTTTCGTAAGCACTGCTCGACGAAGCTAAATGATTGGAAATCTCACAGAGACCTTGGAAAAATAATAAAGTTACAATGCCACTGCCAATGTTTGTCTCGTAATTGGTTTCTAACAATAGTAGAAATAAGGCATATATCGTTTCAATATAACAGCATGCACCCCCCCCCCCCCATTCCTTATTTTCTTTAAGTAAATTCAAATTCATTAATTGAGAGCATGTGTGTGTGTGTGTGTGTTAACTTTGATTGCATAAATTCATGTATTTCAGAATAGCAAGACAGTATAATACATGCCGTAAAATGAATGTTTCTGGCTTGAATATTAACTGTAGCCAGTGAATGCAAGAGATAAGAGATATAAACTAGAAGCCATTATATAGGCTATGGTTTGCATCAATGTATTTACTCGTGTGCGTGTCTATTTTATGTGCAGCTACAAGATCATGAGGTATAGTGCATGATGTTTTGTATCTGTTCATATTTTGATATATGAATCATGTTTTTTCATAAATACATACACAATATTATATGTTCAATTACAAAATATAGTAAGGCAAGATATAATCTATATTTACAATGTTTGCTGAGAAATCAAAAACGTATATATTTACATACAAATAATTTTACAACCAGACCGAATAGTGACCCTACAGTTATCATTTTATAATGTTAATTCCGAAAGCCGCAATTGACCGGATTTCAATTAAGAGCCGAAGATGATTTTAATCAGGACAAGATAGAGAAAGAGGAAAGAACCTATGGGATTATGTCTGCCATTTGTGGCTGTGATTTGTGTTAGTGTGTATGGCTTTTTAGCCATTTCTTATGTGCAATATGGGTATTTATAACAGTTGTGATGTTTTAAGTTTTAACAAGCAAATTATCAACCTTAAACCTCAGTTAGCGCAGCCCTAAGCACAAGCGAGCAGTCCTAAGCGCAAAACCGATTAAAATATTTAACCGAATTTAAGAAACGTTTGCTCACATGCATCATGCATTAGCTATGTTCCTGGTGGCCAGAACTTAGTTACCGTAATTACTCGAATAAACGCCTCCCTCGAATAAACGCCGCCCTCGAATTAACGCCGCATGGACAAGCAAAAATACCATTAAACGCCGCCCTCAAATAAACGCCGCAACCTTTTCGCCATTGCGGCGTTTATTCGAAGCATTTATTTATAACCACAGTTCAATTTTCCTATATAATTATATAGAAAGAAAAGACACAACTTTTATACTTAGTTTTTTTGGGGATTGATTGTATTGGTTAAATTGGCGTTTAAATCACACACTGAAATTCAGAGTTGTTACGAGTTTGCAATAAACGCCTCCCTTGAATAAACGCCGCCCTCGAATAAACGCCGCATCTTAATTGCTAAAAATTTAATAAACGCCGCGGCGTTTATTCGAATAATTACGGTAACTGAATTTAAAACTTTATTTAATTAACTTAAGTTCGTTAACTAAATTAGTTAACTTCGTTAAGTTAATCATGCACAGACTAACCCCTGCATGCACATTTTTTGACCACCAGGCTACTCTAACCTGTAACGATGCCCGGGCATCGCTGAACGTTGCTTTTTGGCGTCGATTTGGCGTAGATTTGCCGTCGAGGTCGCCTACATTAGGCGTAGAGTGCCGTCGAGGTTGCCTACATTAGGCGTAGAGTGCCGTCGAAGTTGCCTACATTAGGCGTAGAGTGCCGTCGAGGTTGCCTACATTAGGCGTAGAGTGCCGTCGAGGTTGCCTACATTAGGCGTAGAGTGCCGTCGAAGTTGCCTACATTAGGCGTAGAGTGCCGTCGAGGTTGCCTACATTAGGCGTAGAGTGCCGTCGAAGTTGCCTACATTAGGCGTAGAGTGCCGTCGAAGTTGCCTACATTAGGCGTAGAGTGCCGTCGAAGTTGCCTACATTAGGCGTAGAGTGCCGTCGAGGTTGCCTACATTAGGCGTAGAGTGCCGTCGAAGTTGCCTACATTAGGCGTAGAGTGCCGTCGAGGTTGCCTACATTAGGCGTAGAGTGCCGTCGAGGTTGCCTACATTAGGCGTAGAG